AGAGAGAATGAGAGACAGAGAGCACGAGAGGGAGGAGGGTCAGAGGGAGAAGCAGACTCCCTGCCAAGCAGGGAGCCCGATGCGGGACTCGATCCCGGGATTCCAGGATCATGACCTGAGCCGAAGGAAGTCGCTTAACCAACTGAGCCACCCAGGCGCCCAAAAACCCAAGTGAATTTTTAAACCCTAAATATGAACTTTCATAAATTTTATTTGGAAAAATAAATGTGAAAGAATAGCCAAGAAATTAAAAAAAGAAAGAATATGTGGTGGGAATTAATATAAATCACAGTAATTAAAACCAGATGATACTATAGGAAAAGACAGAGCTAAGGGAGAACACAGATTGGAAAGTCCAAAATTAGGCTCAAATATATGTGATAATTTAGTGAATAACAAAGGGAACAGTTAATTTCTTTTGGAGCAGACATCTTGGATATAGACTAGATAACTTGGATCCCCATTTGGTGACTTTGGATGTACTAAGGACAGGCCTCGTTCCTTGTGTGATAGTTGGAAGGCAGGCTTTCCTATTAATGTTCACAGACATTAAACCAGAATGTAGGGGCTTCTTTTCTGATGAGAAGTAGTGGTACAAAGCCTTCCTTTACTTAGTATGGCATCTGAATAAGCCTAGGGAGGCAAGACTATGGCCTGCATCTATGTATGGGCCTCTGATGGAGTATCTAAATCCTTTCAAGTTGTTCCTTGCCTGGCCACTCCTGCAGCCTGTGCTGTAATATCTTGGGGGTACCCAAGAATGGGGTAAAGAGATAGTTGTTAATGGCAAGCAAAGAAGGAAAGTACAGTATTACCTTCAGCATAGGTCCATCTTCTAACTACTTCTCACCATCACCACTACCACCACCCTACTCCAAGTACCATCCTCTCTCACTTATATTATTATAACTGTCCCTTAATTTGTCTCCTTGCTTCTACCTTAGACCCCTACAGTCTATTTTCAACAGATTCTTTGAGGGTGATCTGTTTCAAAACTTAAGACAGCTCATATTACTCCCACTCAAAATCCTCATAGGGCTTTCCATCTTACTCATCTAAAATCCTCAAAAGGGCCTACAAATCACAAGCTAGCACATGATCTGGCTCTGCACAACCTCTCTGATGTCACATCCTACCAGTCTCCATTTCCTAGCTGTGTTCTAGCCGTATCATTTTCCTTGTTATTCTGCAAGCATACCAAGTATCCTTTCATCCTATTTTTTTTGCATGTGCTCTTCCCTCTGCCTGGGTGCACTTTCCCCAGATTTCCTCATAGCTCACTCTCCCTCATTTCCTTCAGCTCCTTGCTCAGATGCTACCTTATTGGAAAAGTCTTTTCTTTCCTTCTACCCCTAGCATTTTCTGACTGGTAGATATATTAATATATCAACACATATATTAATGAATGAGTGAATGAATTAGAGATTCAAGGATAATTTTCTGGCTGTATTTTTCTTTGTGGTGTTAGCCGAAGCCCCTCCTCTCCTCACCTCAGCAAGGTTGGACTGCATCTCCAGTTTACAGAGCCTGAGATCTGATACAGATCTCAAAGTCCTTTGATTTGGTTCCCTTGGATGGCTCACAGCCACCTTCTTCCCAATCACTGCGGCTCTGAGTTTGGGGAATTTTTAGGATGGTTTTGTAAAACTTCTTTCCCTGGTACCTTGAATTGTGGCTGGTTTGTACTGATGGGCTTTTCTCTCAGTCTCATGCTGTCTACTTCATTTCCATTCAAAAGACCTTTCTCTAATAAAATACCTAGGAATAAACTTAACAAAAGAGGTGAAAGACCTGTATTCTGAAAACTATGAAACATTGATGAAAGAAATTAAAGACAACACAAAGAAATGGAAAAATATTCCATGCTTATGGATTAGAAGAACAAATGTTGTTCAAATGTCTATACTACCCAAAGCAATCTACACTAAGTTTAATGCAATCCCTGTCAACATACCAAGAGCAATTTTCACAGAACTAGAACAAACAATCCTAAAATTTGTATGGAACCACAAAAGACCCCAAATAGCCAAAGCAGTCTTGAAAAAGAAAAACAAAACTGGAGGTATCACAACTCAGACTTGAAGAAGTTATGTTACAAAGCTGTAGTAATCAAAACAGTATGGTATGGGCACAAAAATAGACACATAAATCAATGGAACAGAATAAAAAACCCAGGAATATCCCCACAATTATATGGATAATTAAGCTTTGACAAAGGAGGCAAGAATATGCAATGGGAAAAAGTCTCTTCAACAAATGGTGTTGGGAATACTGGACAGCTACATGCAAAAGAGTGAAACTGGACCACTTTCTTAAACCATACACAAAAATAAATTCAAAATGAATTGAAGACCTAAATGTGAGACCTGAAACCAAAAAAACCCTAGAAGAGAGCACAGGCAGTAATTTCTCTGACATTGGTTGTGGTAGCATCTTTCTAGATATGTCTCCTGAGGCAAGAGAAACAAAAGCAAAAATAAACTATTGGGACTACATCAAAATAAAAGGCTTCTGCACAGCAAAGGAAACAATCAGCAAAGCTAAAAGAGAACTTACTGAATGGGAGAAGATATTTGCTAACAACATTTCTGATAAAGGGTTAGTATCCAAAATATTAACACACCAAAAAAAAATAATAATCAAATTTAAAAATGTGTAGAAGACTTGAACAGACATTTCTCTAAAGAAGACATACAGATGGCCAAAAGACATATGAAAAGATGCTCAACATCACTCATCATCAGGGAAATGCAAATCAAAACTACAATGACATATCACCTCACACCTGTCAGAATGGCTAAAATTAACAACAGATGTTGGCAAGGATATGGAGAAAAGGAACCCTCATGCAGTGCTGGTGGGAATGCAAACTGGTGCAGCCACTGTGGAAAACAGTATAGAGGTTCCTCAAAAAGTTAAAAATAGCTATGATATTTTTAGCAACTACCCTATGATACAGTAGATGCACTACTGGATATTTACCCAAAGAATACAAAAACACTAATTCGAAGGGATATATGTACCCCTATGTTTACTGCAGCATTATTTATAATAGCCAAACTGTGGAAGCATCCCAAGTATCCATCAATAGATGCATGGATAAAGAAGAGGTGGTATGTATATATATATATATACACAATGGAATATTATTCAGCCAAAAGAACAAACAAACCCAAATCTTGCCATTTGCAACAACATGGATGGATCTAGAGAGTATAATGCTAAGTTAAATAAGCCAGTCAGAGAAAGACAAATACCATATGATTTCACTCATATGTGGAATTTAAGAAACAAATGAACAAAGGAAAAATAAAGAGAGACAAACCAAAAAAACAGACTTTTAACTAGAGAGAACAAATAGATGGCTACCAGAGGGGAGGTGGGGGGATGGGTGAAATAGGTGAAGGGGATTAAGAGTACACTTAATCAATATGAACACTGCATAATATATAGAATTGTTGAATCACTGTATTGTATACTTGAAACTAATTTTTCACTGTATGTTAACTATACTGGAATTTAAATAAAACAACAAAATACCTTTCTCAACATCTCTGGTACTCAATGCTCTTTTCCTAGCACTGCTACGCATTCCTTTCTTATTTTCACATTTCCCTACTCGTTCTAGTGGGATTTGGGGGAGAAGGTAGGTAGATACAAGGACACAAGTAATCATCTTTTTTTTCTTAAAATTTTAATTTATGTGTACACCTGTACATATATATAATTTTGCATAAATGAATGAAAGTGAGCATATACTTTTAAAATAAATATTTAAGTAAAATTTCATTTTAAGGATAACATATATATAGAAACCACACAAATCTTAGATATCTAATTTTATTTTCTCAAAGTGAATGCATTCCTTTAACCAGCACACAGATCACGAAATACACCTTCATCAGCACTCTAGAGAGCCCCTCTTTACCTCCTCCTGGTCACTCAACCCTGAGAGGTAACCACTATCTTGACTTCTTCTAATACCATAGATTGGCTTGTTTTCAAATTTTATGTGAACAGAGCCACATAGTATAAACCTCACTGTGTGTGTATCTTCCTTTGCTAAACTTGTGTTTGTGGGAATCATCCATGTTGTATACAACAATAGTTTCTTTCTCATTCCACTTCTAGGTATAAACTCAGACTAAATGTGTACCTAATGTCTTGCATGATAAAACTGTTCAGAGAAGCACTATTTAGCTCCAAACTGGAGACATTCCAAATGTCTACTAACAGTAGAATGAATAAATGGTTTATATATTCATACTATAGAATACTAAACATGCTCTTAAAAAGTTTTTTTTCTTTACCATTTTTACCTAGATCTATCCCTATCCAACCTCTCATGCCTATCATAACCACACTAGCTTTCACCTGCATCCAAGGTAACTCATGTTAACAATTCAGTATGTATCTTTACATATTTTCTCCTTATGTAATCATACACACGTGTATGCATATATATACATATACACATAGATGTACACCCATACATAACTACAGAGGAATTGTTGTAAAAAGTGGGATCACAATATACATCATACCTACATTTTGCTTTGTCATGTCATCATATTAAAACCTAGATTCCTATGTATATGTCTGGAATAATATAATGAATATTAAAAAATACCAAAAAATTGGGTTTTTATTATAGCTACTTAGGTATTAAGCAGTTCATATCATCTAAAATGAAAATGTTGGTTAATTCATTTTATTAAATATTTATTCCCATGACAGCTATGTCACAAAACCCTGAGGTTTCTTTTCTTTGCTAGTACACTTCTTTGCTAGAGCTATGTTCAGTTTTAGACACAACAGTATAATAGGAAGGATAAACTGGAGCCTGTTCAAAGGAGAGCAACAGAGTTATCTCTAGTGAGAGAACTAAAAAAGATGAACTGGGGAGTGAGATAAAGTTGTAGATGAGAGATGACCATGTTCTTCAAGTATGAAAGGCTTATAGTGTGGAAGAAAAACACTCGTTTTATTTGAACCCAGGAGGTAGAGTAACAATGGAGTGGAGTTATGGAGACACAGAATTAAATTCAAAATAAAAAACCGATTTTCTAACAGAAAACTTTAATGGACTGTCTTGGGGCCTAGACAGATAGTTGGTATTATACTGTGTGAAAATTTCAGGCCACATATGGGTAATTCTACCTAAGTATCTTTAAGGCCCCTTCAACCTGTAATAACATGACTCTAGAATTTATTTTATTTCAACTTTTCATTTTCCTTAACAGATATATTATTATGAGCTTTATTTTTAATGGAAGATGACTGAATGTGAAAACCTAAACCAAGAAGAAATAATTAAGGAACTGGTGAGTCAAAGCCAAGTTTCTTTTTTTTTTTTTTTTAAAGATTTTATTTATTTATTTGAGAGAGAGAGAATGAGAGAGAGCGAGTACATGAGAGGGGGGAGGGTCAGAGGGAGAAGCAGACTCCCTGCCGAGCAGGGAGCCCGATGCGGGACTCGATCCCGGGACTCCAGGATCATGACCTGAGCCGAAGGCAGTCGCTTAACCAACTGAGCCACCCAGGCGCCCAAAGCCAAGTTTCTTTTCAATTACATTTGCAAGAATAGTAAATGGAACATTTTTACACTCCCTTCTGGAGCTCACCTAGATTTCTTCTACCCCATGACCTTTGGAAGTAGAGAAAAATCATATATATGGTATAACTTTCCTTCTTGTGAGTTAAACATGGCATCAGTGCAACTGACAGTTTATAATTTCTAATAGCAAAATAATTTTTAAATTATTTTGAATAGGTAATAACCCAATTTCTTTTTTTGAAACAGTGTTTATGCAATGGTTTGTCTTATGAGATGGTTGGACAAGAAGGATCAGATACTTCAAAACTGGAGATGTTTTTCTCAGGTTATCCCTGTATAGTTGGATTATCATTATTTCCTAATTTAACAAGTCTCACAATTGTTGCTCAAGATATAAAAGAAATTTCAGGGCTAGAAACTTGTTTACGGCTTAAAGAACTCTGGATTGCTGAATGCTGCATAGAGGTAAGTCTAAACATAACCGTATATGAAGTATTTTATGCTTAATTCTTTGGCTTTGGAAAAATAGTTCCATGAAAGATATGCATGAGTCATGGATCAAAACAGATGAATGGGGAGGGGCATACATGATGAAGTAAAATAAAACCCTTTACCCAGTAAAACAAAACAAACAAAACAAATGGGTAAAATATAGAAATAGATTTCTACAAAGGAGAAAATAGAAATAAAGAATCAAAATGTAGACATACTCTACATTTTAGTAATCAGATCAGATCAAATAATACCCAGTATCGCTTAGTAGTAAATTGGTTTAAATTGGTTTACTTAGTCACTATTGGTTGTGTAAAAATTGTAACATCTAGGGGCGCCTGGCTGGCTCAGGGGAGCATGCAACTCCTGATCTCAAGGTAGTGAATTCAAGCCCACCTTGGGTGCAGAGATTACTTAAAAATAAAATCTGAAGAAAAAAAAAAGAAAATTGTAACATCTGTAGTGAAAAGCAGGATTCCGAAATGTATCATGAGTCAAAGAAATGTGCATACCTTTTGACTCAGAAATCCCTAATCCTAAATTTTAATCCTAGAGGAGTAATTCAACAGCAGAAAACAACATAAAGTTATTTGTTGCAGTACTATTTATAAGAGCTAAAAATTTGAAACAAATATTTCACATATACAGGTATTTTTAAGAATGTTATTATAGCTAATATATTTTGTAATTAAAATTATTATTTGAATGATTACAAAAACATTTTAGATGGTCTTAAGTTTAAAAAATCCACAAAATTATATAGGTCTCATGATTATAATATAAAAATAGATATAGAATTGATTAAAATTTTAAAAGAATATGAACATTGAAAATAGTTGTCTTTAGGTGGAGGGATTACATGTTTTTTCTTTTCAAATGTTTCATTCATTTGAGGGTCTTGGGTGGCTCGGCTGGTTAAGCTTCCAACTCTTGATTTTGGCTCAAGTCATGATCTCAGGGTTGTGAGATGGAGCCCTGCATCAGGCTCTTAGCTCAGAGTGGAGTCTGCTTGAGATTCTCTTCCTCTCCCTCTGCCCCTCCCCCCACTCACATGCATATGCTCTCTGTCTCTCTCTCAAATAAATAAATTTTAAAAATCTTTAAAATGTTCAGTTCATTTTGTTGGATACAGATTTTGCAATAAAATGTGATTTTAAAAAGAAAATGTACTTATA